ATTTGCATTTGTGAGTTGCATTATGGGATGTTGATCTCTGTTCTGTCCTCTTTTGATGTTGAAAATTCAACTCTACATTTTAACAAAGTGTCTTTTATTAACATTTTAGTCGTTTGAAATAATATAAGAAATACTATTCAGAGAAATGATGCACTGGCAGTTTATTGCAAGGTTTTTGTAGTGTAATATACAACACCAACACAGACGATATAGCACTGCACACTAGTACAAATGTAAATAAAATAACTTTTCAAGGTTAAAAGTTGCTGGAAGAGCGATCAAGCTCCCATAATGCAATTCAGAAGCAGAAATAAATGAGGAAAAAAAATAACATGAATAACGAAATACGGAAAACTGCAGTGTAAACAGTGTTAAGTTTTTGCTGTGTTAAATGTGTTGTTGTAGTTTTGTCCACAGGAGGGCGCCATTGAGCGCCGCAGTGTTTCTGCCTTTGAAATGACATTCAGTGGGAAATGAGCAGCTCCGCCTCCTGCTCTGATTGGCTGCTGTGAGTACAAACAGTTCATGTTCTGACACACTATTGAACTTGTGAATCAGCAGTTCAGTTCAATAACATCACAGCAGAACTTTACTCTGGGTTTCATCTAAATGTGCACTCATTAGTAAGCACACGCTGTATTTCAGGGCCTGCACAGTGTTTAACTGTGTTCATCATTAGTAAGCACATTGTTTGCATTTATTTTTATGACCCTGCATTGACAAGTTCATAGTAAATATTAAGTGCTGTGGTAGTGTTGATATAAGATTATTACTTTTAATGTTAGCTTTCATTACCTTAAAAGTCTTATTATTCTAAATTTGATTACTGTTAGTATTTTACCTGCATCCTTTATGACATAATGTTTATTATTAATTATTACATGCATTTTATATTTTTGCATATCTATGATTGATTGGAAATAATGCTAAAGCAACAATAATTTTTTTCATTACTATTAGTATTATTTGCATTTTTTATAATATAATTATTTAATTTTATCACATGCATTATATATATATATATATATATATATATATATATATATATATATATATATATATATATATATATATATATATATATATATATATATATATATATATATATATATATATATATATATATATATATATATATATATATATATATATATATATATATATATATATATATATATATATATATATATATATATATATATATATATATATATATATATATATATATATATATATATATATATATATATATATATATATATATATATATATATATATATATATATATATATATATATATATATATATATATATATATATATATATATATATATATATATATATATATATATATATATATATATATATATATATATATATATATATATATATATATATATATATATATATATATATATATATATATATATATATATATATATATATATATATATATATATATATATATATATATATATATATATATATATATATATATATATATATATATATATATATATATATATATATATATATACATATATATATATATATATATATATATATATATATATATATATATATATATATATATATCCATATATACAC